GGAATGCATGATGCAGGAATGAAGATGGACTAATACAGGTAGCACTGCAGAGAAAGAGAAATGGTCATTTGTGTGTGTTAAGGACAAAGGGAGGTTTGGTACCAATGTATGTAGCTTAAAAGAATTTAGCAGAGTGAGGAGAAGGTGCATCAAAGGATGAGGGACAGGTTGGTGGAACACAGAAGCTTGTTTTAAGAAAGCAAAAAGGGGATGTAGAAGTATGGTACACAATACAGCAAGGGGAAGAAGTCTGAAAGTAGACCAAGAAGAAGTCAGGGAGGGGAAGGAATCCTAAAACATTGCATGGGCTAACTCACAGGAGGCTGTGATTGCTCTGAAAAGGCATGCAGGAATCCAATTTTGGCTCGTGTGCATATGAGAACCAGAGGATGTGGGCAGGAGGATTCAGAGAAGTGGCACATGGGAGTAGAGAGTACAGGAGGGGAGACAAGTATCCTGGGGAAGGGGGGAGAAAAGGAGGATTTGGGGGAAATTTGGGGAATCTAATGAAGGAATAAGAGGGATGAGCATGGGGAGGCCTAGGGAGATCTGAAGCCTCATAAGAAAGGGCCATCTGGGAAAAGAGCACAAAGAAAGGGGGAATTTTTGGAGGGGAAAAGGGACCCTGCTCCCCCACAAGCTCATTCTTCCAACCAGTCAGATGGATAGATAGAGTCAGAAAGGACTGACATCCCCCTTTCTCCCTGCTGGCCTGCCTACCCCAGCCCTCCCTGCCCTCATTGTTCAAAGTGTCCATCTTCTGCTAGTGCTCAGGTAGGGGGACCTTGGCAGTCTCTACTTCAGGAATCAATCCATGGCCTATGATGCCAGGCAAGAAGCTTCCAGAGCTCTGCCCCTCCATTGCCCTCTCTTCCCTCATCCCACCCAGATAGTTCCCAGCCAATCTTGCTGTCCTGACATTCTTCTCTTTCCCCTCTTCTCTCCCACAGGCCAAGTTTGAGTTGATCATGTCTGAGGCCTCATACCTTCGCAGTTTAAATGTGGCAGTGGATCACTTCCAACGATCACCTGAGCTCCAGGCAGTCCTTTCCAATCAAGAGCGCCAGTGGCTTTTCTCTCGCCTCCAGGATGTGCGTGACGTTAGTGCCAGGTGGGTCCTGATCTTTGGCTTCAAAGGCCAGCACCCTCTGTGAAGCACAGGTTGAACCCAAAGAGATGAAACACAGAGCTGTAAAATCGTGTCCCCTTGTCCTTACTCTGCACATTCCTCTAGCCACAGGCTGGATGCAGAGGAGAAACAAACATCACCTTTCCTTGCCTTTGTACCACCACAAAAACTTTAATGGCGGCAAAAGTAAATAGATATTCATACCTTTTGTTGCACTACAAATGCCCAAATTTGTGGCTGTGATGGATGGTAGCAATTATTTGTGCTGCTTTATTGTGATGAGTGTGTATGCTTTATGGTGGGAGAGCCAGAACTGCCTGCGGTCTCCAGCCATCCAGGGCAAGGGCTCAGGGGATTGAGGGGCCTGATTCTGTACACTCCTGTAGTTTCTGCACAGATTCAGGCCCCTCAAGCCCTGGGAGAGCCTACCGGCTTTTCCCATTTACCCTGGGAGATGCACTCCCAGGGTCTCCAGGGCATGTCTTGGTAAGCAGGACAAGTCAGGGGTGCTTAACAAGATGCGTCTCTGGGATCTCTGGGGTATGTCTGAGTAAAGAAGGCAAGTTGGGGTGCATCTCACTAAGCAGGAAAAGGCAAGCAGGTGTTCCCAGGATTTGAGGGGCCCAATCTCCTGTGGGAATTCCTGGGCTGCAGAGGACCAGGCCACTCAAGCTCCAAGAAAATACATCACAGGATCAACAAGTGGGACAGTGGGTGACGTGTTTTGCCCAGCGAAGCAGATCGGCTGTCCTGGGACACATCCGTCTATTTCCAGCCATAGACACAAATGCCCCGTCCAACCCAGTCCTGCCCAGAAAGGATCCTTGTCACCTCTTTGGGCAAGTGGGTCTTTTTAATCTTGATGCTCATTCAGTCCTGAGAATTGTGGCGCATTTCTAGAACTGGAAATTGCAGAAGAGCAAATCATCCAGAAGGCCATCAGCTATGTCTCAGGTCTGATCTACCATTGGCTGAAACACATTAGAATCACTGGGATCAAAACCTTAACCTGAACCAAATCCAGCACCAATCAGACACAAACCCAAACGAGCACCCACTAAGTCCCAAGGCAGTCTAAAATCCCCAGCTGTCATGTGGCAGATCCCACCTTGACTCAATCCAGAATTTAACTTGAATCCAACCTGGCCCTTAGCCCGTATTTCCCTCCTGCAGAGCTTAATCAACTTTGGAACTTCCTTCTGTTCTTTGCTACATTTTTCCAATACAGGGTCTTTGCTGTTTTAATCTCTTAGATCCCCCTGGCTCCATAGGAGCTGAAAAAAAAATCTTTCCTTATTTATTTGTGGTGTTTTTGTATAGCCCCCAGATTTATCCCATGCTAGGGACAAAACCAAACCCACACCAAAACAAGTAGCACCACAACCTTGGTTCTGAGACCTGAAAGTGAAGAGAAATGGTGTGCTTAATGTATATGCCCTGCATTTTGGACCAAGCGTGGAGGATACACATGTCTGTGGCAACAAGGGAAGCCTCCTTGCTTTGTTGAGTGATGCTGTCTACTGTGTGTTTATAACTGTGTTTCACTTTCCTTTCATGGCAATGCCGGCGGGCTCTGCAGTTTCCTTTTTGACCTGGAGGAGAAGTTCGAGGAGGACATGTTCACCTTCCATGTGTGTGATGTGGCCCTGAGGCACGCCCTGGAGTTTCGCCGGGTGTATCTGCCCTACGTGACAAATCAGACTTATCAGGAGCAGACCTTCCGGAGGCTTCTGTAAGAGCACTGCTCCGCTCTCTCCTCAGCCTTTGACCTTCTTTGCTGCACCAATATGTCCCCTTTGTCAGTCAGGGGAGAGCTGAACAGGTGCAGAGTTCCTCCTGGTGTTCACAGACCAGCAGAGAGTCCCCACCATGCCACAGCAACTGATGTGGGAGAGGGCAGGGCTGTGCAGCCCCATAGTCCTCTGTCAGCACTGGGCAGAGACAGGCTGATCAGCACCTAGTTCCTTCAGTATCAGAGCTAGGGTTACCATATTTCCAGTTCCAAAAAAGAGGACACCTGTCACACGGGAGGAGGGGGGCATTATATGACTGTGGTGAAGGGCAGTGATATGTGGGTGCCCTGCCTCTGCCCGTTCTCTTGCTCCGCACTCCCAAGCCACAGCCCCCTTCCCCAGCCATG